TATATATATATATATATATATATATGTATGTATGAATAATGAATAATCGTGACCTTTAAATTAAGCAAATCCAACGACTAATATGTATTTCACTAGGATCATGAGAGAGTTAGTTATAAACCACTTGAAATTCATGAGATATAAACCTTTGTATTTGCTTAATTTAAAGTTCACGATTATTTGTCAAATCTATGTGTTATAAATATATAATTTTGATGAGATGTATAAGGCACAATTTTATGCCTAAGAATCCTATCAACTTTGCAAAGTTTTCAAAATCAGCATTGCAAAATTCCATAACATTGTCAGTTCTCAAGACTTTTATCATTTTACTAGTTTGATTTTCAATCAAAATATTCCAAACTTAAATTTTTTAAAAGTATCAAATGTCTAATTTGAAAGAAATATCCAAAATTTTCTTGAAAAATCATCAATCCATGATAGAAAATATTTATTTCCACCTTTAGTGATGATAGATGAGGGATCCCATAAATTAGATACAGCTGTAGTTTCATGCTTTCTTGTATTAAAATGGTGTCTGTGTTGTTTTCCTAAGGTGCAATACTCATATAAAGGGATTTTAGATATAACATCTTTTTCAAATGCACTCTTCTTATTTAGATTATGCAAACCCTTTTTGCTAACATGTGCTAACCTGTTCTTCCACTTTAAATTCACATCAATTTCAGCACTTGAAGATTCAGCAATGTAACCGAAATTACTTCAGCTCTAGTAACGTATATATCATTTCTCTTGGTACTATTGAAAATGACAAGAGACATTTTGATCACCTTCAACATGCCATTTCCAAGCCTAGCTGGTAGGCTTACATCATCTAGATCATCCATTGATATCAAATTCCTATTTAAATCAGGGATGTATCTTACTTTTTCAAGAGTTAGGATATGTCTATTTTTTAACTTCAGTCATACTACCAATTCCTACAACCTCATAGGCAACATTATTGCCCATCACAACCTCCCCACCATTCATATCCTTATAGTTTTCTAACCAAAGTTTTCTAAAGGTCATGTGAAAAGTGCAACTAGAATCCAAAATCTACTCTTGATTCTGATCACTATTCTCTAAAAGATTTATAGTATTCAGATCAGAAGTGGACTTGGTAACATCTTAGGCATCAATATTTTTATCTTATAGAGACTCTATAAAATTTCCTTCATCTAGATTCTTTTCTTTTTGTTCATTCTTTTTCTTTAAACAATCGTTTATTTAATATCCAATTTTACCACATATATAGCATCTCCTATTCCCAGTTCTAGGCAACTAAAGTCGTGATTCAAAATGCGAGAACGGACCAAATTTTGGGCTTTCATCAAAGTGTTATCAGGCAATGGAAATAAAACAGGTAGTGGGCTGAGTCCCTTTTTCATCATAGCCAACAGTTTGGACTATACTTTTGGCATCATAGCCCCCACCAAGTTTGACTAACACCACCACCTTCTCCTTCTTCTCCATCTAGATCAGCCAGTGATGGATGTACTGGTGTTTATAATGTTGAACGCTTCTGTATACATATTTCTCCTTGGACTTTTTCCAACTTGCTTTCTCTGTCTGTAGATTATAAGTGTCATGCCCTAGATCCAATCAACATTGGACATAAATACTTTTAATATATAATTGATGCGATTTTATGGCAGATCTATTATTTAATTAATATTCAATTATTTAAATAATAGAGTCCGTATATTCAAATCTTGGTAATTTGTTAATCACAAGAATTTGTGATTGTGAGATATAAATTACACATGATTGAATTTTAAATCATCCGTGATCGTAAGTAATAATGAGATACGAATATCGTTATTACGAATAGATTTTCACGTGTGGCATTTTTTACTTATAAAGTAAGTAACAGATCTCACAAGTTAAAGTGTGGTAACACTTAAATGAAAACGTAGATGTTTTGTATAGAACGAAACATTGGAGATCTTTTGAGAGATTCCTCATGAATAACTATCTGAGTGTCAGTGGTTAATCTTTAACGTTTGGTAGTGAAATTGGTCCTTTGACTTGAGGTCATTATTGTGCCTTATATGAAGACAATCATACTTTGACGGTGTTGGATGTTACTCTGCCAAGGGCTACTAATACTACCTCGTTCGGGTATGTCAATAATCGTATGAAAGTTTGATTGACCAATAGAGGATTTGTCACTCTTAAATAGTAAGAGATTATGATTTACGTTTCATTCAATTGAGTCGATAACGAAATCCTTGACCAATGTGTACTCATAAGTCGAAAATGAGTTTTTAACTTATATTGACTTAATCGTGGGATAAAAGATATGATCGATAATTGATATTGACACTTATCCATATTTTGTAATTGATCGGATCATATTAATGAGGGGATTATAATTTCTCGGTAAACGAACAAGTTTGGTTTTATTATACCACGTGATATTTTTCGTCACATGTATTGCCTTAACACATTGCTGGATATCAATTTGGAATGACGAACGTGAGTAGGTGATAAATTAAAAGGGTGCTTTAATTTATCGATTTTGATAATATCAAAATAATAATATACGTCGTTAGATATTGTGATTGAGAACCTGATGGGTCACACACAAAAGAAGAATTTGAAGATTGTATTTTACCAATTAATTAATTTAACAAGCGTTGGATAGATTAATTAATTAATTAATTATGTTACTTATTTATTGGCCCGAACTAATTAGTTGGATTAATTAATTCATGGAATAGATTTAATTAAATATTGAACCGGGTTAGGAAATGGTCCAAGCCCGTTTGGATTTGTATAAATAGGAAGCTAAGGTTTTGGATTTGCAGAGAAAATTTATTATTCTTACTAGCATAAGAAAAACACTAATTGTCACAATCTGTTTTTCTATGTCGATTGTCATTAGAGGTTAGATAATTGAACAGCTGTAGGTGACAGATTAATGTTGTTGGAACAAAAGGAAAAGCAAAAGGTTTGCAGATCCCTTTAAAGGTACATTTTCTATCAAGATTTCTATCTAAACACATAGAGATTTTTGGTGAGAGTTGAAATTTATTTTATTTTTCGCTGCGCATGATAAGTAGATTCCTGAGTTTACTCATCAATGCATTTTTTTTTCTCTTTCCTTCTTTCTTTTATGTGGAAGAGAATGAAAGGGAGAGAAACTTGCATTTTTTTTCTTTTTTGACTAGTTTGAAGAATTTTTTTCTTAAAAAAATTCATAATGATACCATGTCGAGTTTTACAAAGAGTAGCAGTCTGTTTGGGAGTGATTTTTTTCTCAAAAAAATTAATTTTTTGACAGTTATTTCACTATTCT